GCTAGATGAAGCCAGAAGCTTTTTTACATTTTTCTACGCATGTAATCTTGGTGTGCATCAGCCGACAACACTTAAAAGCTGCAGGTCTTTATTAAACGATGCCTGACGTCCACTATTGAAGGGTAGAAGGGGGTCCTAGGTCCTATTTGTGAGAGTACGTGTAATAAGTATGGCGAAAGGCTGTTAAAAATCGAAAAACTTGTATACGTCATCTTTCAGTCGCTCTCAAATTCGAAAGAACTTTTTATCTGTGCCCAGGTTAAGGCAAAAGCAAACAACCACCCAGGTTGGTTCTACACACCACTAGGGTTACTTAGCATACTTGAAAAAGAGTAGAGTAAATTGGGGCAAGAGTACGCAGGGGGCAAAAGTACGCACTGGTCCGAAAGGGAACTAAACAAAATCATGGACCAATGATTATGAGTTGGATTGAAACCTGTACTAAATACAAGCTTACTTGAAAAATATTATGTATTTTAAATGATCCACCTAAAGTTATCACTATTTGTTTTTCGATTTTTGCATTTTGATATAAAATTATTAAAATTTACTATTGCAATGACCCGATTTTGTCAGCCTTATTGTGCGGTATTGAATACCCTCAGTATAGAGATGCTAGCCGCTTACTACCTACTACGAACATAACCCTGCGCACTCCTCAGCAGAAGTAACGACGAGAGTACGCAGTGATCGTCTCTCTTCCTCATTGAACCGTCATCGCGTGTGGACGCTTTGGTAAGTGGCTGGCAAAACCTGCAACCGCCGAATGGCCGAACTACTATTTGAAAATATGTTTTAATGTTCTATGAAGCCCATACGCTTTTCCAGTGGATGCATTGCACTAAAGCATACCTCAAACATCCATCTTGAAGATGAATGAGAATGGCTTGGAATTACGATTATGCGAAATAATTGAATAATGAAAGAGGGGCTGACAAAATTGGGTTATTACTGTATTATGATATCATGGATGAAGATTATAACCTAAGTATTCGAGTGTCACAGACAAACATACGTAACTCGTTGAATAAGTTTATTTTGAAAACATTGTACCTAAAAAATAGGACCTGAGTAACGACATCTTTCGAGCTTCTCGCGGAAAACAAGTTTGTTCGATATGTCGCAAACAATGTTGCATGCAAGGTTAACATAATATATAGAAACGTCAAAGTGATCCGCTGCCAGCGCTGCAGTGAGCAGTTCACGAAATGATAATATTTAAATCAATCGTTAAATACGTTAACGATGGTTCAGAATGAACTGTTACGTCTGTTTGTACCAATTTTATGATTTGTCTATATGATAGGTGTTTATACCATGATACATACCATAATAGGAAAGACGTAATTTATCGTAGACCCATTTCATTATTCACTTCGAGTGGGGTAACAGTACGAATGGCTTAGAATGGTCGTCAAATCGTTTCTATCTTTAAAAATGTTGATAGAACCTGTTTTAAATTTTCAATACTTAATTTTCACCGCTAAAAACTACTAATTTTTAATACTTGACCAAAGAAAACAGTTGAGTGCATACAAATAATAGGTGCTTGAAGATGACGAAATAAGGTCCAATTTGATTTAGAAAGCATTCATAGCATAGCAGAACATAGCATAAACCAGGTTGCACAATGTCGTAGGTGGTACGAGCTCCAAACTGTTGTTAAGGAGGAGACCCACCTTCACCCGTTGCTGTTAGATAGTAATTTGTGGTTAACCACTACCTCTTAGATACAGGATGCCCGAGCAAAGGAATATACCAAATTGATAACAAGCTCTGATACCCGGTTATCAAGATTTGATAACTGAAAATGACATCATTGTGGTTGAATAAACTGTCAACAAAACAAAAATTATAACAAAAGAATACTATTTGGATATCACAAAAATAACTGATTTAGTTATCGCTGAAAACATCTTGATAACAAATCCTGTGATCCATGCCATTTTTTTCTACAAATTCCAAATTATTTTATCGATTTGGTATTAAAGCCCTACGCTGATAACTGAAATATGATTGGCAGTGTTTTTCTTCTTCTCACAATGTGGATAATATTTGAAGTTTTGAACTAATTTTGCATCATTTCATATTCTTTCATGATGTCAAAATTAGTCTAGGTTGGTAACTAAATTAATTATCCGATAACATCTGAAAACTAAATGATATCTGGAATAACAAGACTTGTTTTCAAGATGATATCAGGTTGTTATTTTACTTTGGTCGGGTGAGTCTCCCTCCAACAGACTAGAGGTGTCCTGGCCACGTCCTTGCATCTGGTGGGGATGGGAGAGGAATGTTAGTCCGACACTTACTTAAGAGAGATGCAGACTCTACGACCCCTCATAAGTGTCACGGGAAGGGTGGAATTTCGTTAGTAGGGAGGGAAAGCCATAGGCCCAGCCGGCGTTGTTGGAAATTATAGTATTTAATATATAAAACCTGTAAATCATTTGTCCGTTTACCGTTGTTGCTGCCCATTACCTAGACCCATTATTCGAAAAAAGTCTTCAGATTTTTAAATAGCTGTAATAGATACTGTGACCAAATACTAAAAGTATTAATACAAATAGTCAAGCAATCGACTCAAATTAAAATTTGATTTTATGGTAAAAAAGAGACATTTATTTTAAAACTACGTGCGTACTCCCCAAGTAACCAAGCCCGCTTTTTCGCCTTTTTGCAATATAAGGCTAATATGCGGCTAATATAAAGCTCAGCATACCCTATGTTAGCCGTGTATCAGCCTTATATTGCAAAAAGGCGAATTAGCGGACTTGTTGGTTACTTGGGTCTTGCACCACTTGAATGTAAGTGAATCTTTCACTTTTCAAATTCGACCCAATGGCAAATTTAGCCAATCGCGACCGGCCTTGTGGCCTTTGAAAAAGGTTCGTAATTTAGCAACTACATTAGTCACATCCGGATCCTTAAGGTATCTCTGAAGGACCGACCAGTTTTAAACTAGAGCCAACACCCAATATACTACATATAAAATTACTATAACAGCTGATTACTGGTCACATTGAGAACCCAGGATCACACTGATCAACACCTGGACATGTTCCGGCTACCACATGAAAAGCGGTCAAAATTAATTTAGTAAGAACTGCCGTAACACTTGCTTAACGCTTTATTTGGACGAGCGAACCTACCAACCAATCAATTCGTACTACAATGAAGGATAAAATTCACTTAGTGTAATGATCTAAAACAATTTTATTTTTAATAAAATAAATCAAAAAATTTGAATGAAAAAGTTGAATTGCAATTGTTCAAAGACGTGTATTTTTTTCTGAGCGTGTATCAAAATTCCTGAAATTTTTACTAAAGATTGAACAAATATTTAAGGTTTATCTGTACAATTTTGGCTTGATCGATTGGGTCTGTCGGCATCTTGAGCAATTTTAGTAAATCTCTTCTTATTAGAGAACTATTTTTCAAACTACTGTATTCTTAAGAACAAGGAGGCAAGTAAAATGAAATTTTGCTCCATTATGAAAGAAAAAACATAGATCTTTCTTTCATTTGGCTTCAAATTTATTTAAAAACGTTTAGTGAGAACAAAGGTACAACAGTTTAAATTTGTTTGTTCCAAAAATGTCTGTTTGTTGATATTAATATTGCTGTCAAGTTCTCATTTTAAACGAGGGGGCGACACATCTAAATCTCAAGTTAAGATGCTCAACAAATCTCACACTAGCGAATCAATCTTCGAAAAATCTTCTTTCATTTGTTGCATCTACTTGCATCGAGCATCATCTTTTTGCAGGAAATCTTCAGAATCGTCATCAATCTTCTTTCTATCTACTCAGCGTGCCCGCAGCTAGCCACAGCAAAGCACAATCTTTTCTGCATCGTAGATAGAGTCGTCCCCCTCGATTTTACATTTTTTGAGGCTCAAAAAATAAATAAATAAGGAGTATTGCCAAATGTTAGAAGTTTCCACCAGTTAAATAAGAAGTGGAAAAGATATTACGAGTGAACGAAAAGAAAAAATATTGATTTTTGGTGGCAATACAGTTGCCACTGCCTTATAAAGGGTTTATGTGAAGCTTTAAAAGGTGCTCCATTATTTGTGTCAAGTACATTAATTCCTCAAACCATTAATACATCTTCAGTCGAATCATCGACTGGATTGAGTTGCAAATCATTAGCTTCACAGAAAATGGTTTTGCGTATGACATGTTAGAAGATTTCTATAAAGTACGAGAGATTTTAGTATCTTTGAAATAGTATCAAATTAATCCATACTTAAAAAAGTAATCATTTGACAAAGGTTTCATTTGAATGGTTCATACAATTTGAGTCAATTATTTCTTTAGATAATTAATTTCATCGTACACTTTCATTCAGTGTTCAAAAACACTAATAAAAAAAGATCATCTATCTTACATGAAGATGCTTTCATTTTGTGTTTAATTCCAATCCTCCTCAATATGAAAACAAGAACATTATCCACACAAAGCAAGATTGTACCACTCGTTCTGGCTAACTAAGAATCACACAGAATCCTACATGGCGGGCACTCATCGGAGCATAGCGGGTGAGCGAGTGCTACCACCAGCTGAGTTCCATACGACGGCTGACAGCTGATTTTGTTGACAGTTGACTGTCCAGTCCCTCGATTTTTATTTTGCTACTGCTGTTGCTGTTGCTGCTGCTGCTATAATCGAGGATTGGATTCATTACACAGCCACGATGGGCGAGAAGAGAACATTGGTGGGGTCAAGGGAAAATACGCAATACATTCAAACGCAGTGGATCTAGCAGAACTCACTTACTGTATAATTAGCATTTTGTTATTAGGATGGGAAAACACAACTATTGGTAGACATTTATGATCCGATCAATTCTAATAAATTAGGCAGCATGATTCTTATGTAGTTAACAGAAGTGAGCAACCTTTTCAACCGAGATATCAAAAGACATATTTAATAACTTCGCAAAATGACGTCTGATTTAGGACTGAAACCAATACATTCGAAGAATGGACGACTTACCTTACTGAAGTAAATTCGGAAAATGTCTATCAACCGAAGATAATGTTATATAAATCCATTCTTTAAGCACGGAAAATCCTTTTTCACTAATTTAATCAGCATATTGTCTGGAGTTGTGGCTGGTATCTATATCGAATACCGTTTTGCACTTTAAGTTACCACGACGAGAAGTGTTGCACCAACACAAAGAAACGATTTTTCCTGATTGTTTTTTTTTTCCTTTATCGATACTTCTAGTTTTCCTCTATTGTGTCACTATAACTTTAACATTATTTGATTTTAGCAATCTTAGCAATCCAAAATGTCTCTTATTCTTAACCAATTAAAAACTGTGTCCAATTGTCACTGATACCTTCTATCGGAGCACAAAACAATATTCTGCCTTTTTGATTGCTTTTACACAGGTTCACTTTTCACTGCAGAGACAACTGGCTACGTCTCGAAAATCTACAACTGGTGATCCCGAATAAAGTCCGATAATCCGATTGATATTTCACCACTTATTTTCGACAAACTTTTCGCTCATATCCACCCTTCACTTGTTCCTCGCCCACTTTTCGTGTTCTCCCACTTTTCCTTTTGGGGGTGTGTGCGTTTGTATGTGTTGATTTCCTTTGCTTTCTTAACCAACGAAACTACACACTATGTGTGGAAATGCTATGATCCTCCAGAAGGTATACGGGAAACCAGGTCGGGAACAGCAGAACTTCGGGATTCCTTTGTAGAGCAGTCGCGCGTAGAAAGCCTTCCGCCGTCTGGGCCAGAGAAACTCGAACCGCTCACCACCGTAGTCGACGAATGACTGAGCTCTGAGATTGAGAGCCGGACTTCTGCTGGCCTGCTGGTGGCTGGTGAGTGGTTCCTGTGTTTACCCTCGTGAACGTGCTCCATGCTTATACCAAAACAGCTGACAAGTGGTTGTAGTGCGTGTGGCATATCCGTAACTGGTATACATGTTGGCACTACTTAGTCGGCAGAGAAAGTAATTAATATCTATTAAGTTTAAATTTGCAATGTTATTTATTTATTTCAAACTGATTTTTTTTCATGATGGCTACATACGTTGCAACAGAAAATACATGATCGATTCTATTAGTCGATTTTCTCTTTTGTTCATAACTCGCTAGAATTAACGTATCTCGGTCCGTTTGCTGTTGCTTTTGATAGCCAATACAACCTGTTACAGCTCTGCATTGAATTAATTCTAGAAAATTAGGGTAGATGTTCTATATTTCGCCATACTAAACGTATTTTTGCAATGAAAACACGTAATAAGAGATAATTTGGCAAAATAATAATGCATGAATTAACATAATATCGAGAGCTGGACTTCTTTTTCAAATTAAAATGCCTTTTCATTAACAAATTGTCACTATCTGGCTGTTTGAGTACTTTTTTTGAAACAAATATTTGTTTCAATTTTCGCCATAGGTTTTTAATTTTCGCCAATATTCAACTACCTCAACATAATCAAAGTCACATAGTTGTCTATTGCCTTCGACGCTCTCTTTATCTGTTTTCATTATGTCCGGGTAGTTTTGCTCTATGACTGAAAATATTCTATACAATGCCGTATCTTCGTCGCTGTCCAGACAAACAAAATCTGCTCTGTACTTTTTCATCCTTGCCCCACCAAAGCTACGGCGCATTCTTCTAGTGTTTTGTGCTTGTTGTAACTGACGAGACATCTCTGTAGGTTCCGGAGTCGACTCACGTTGCCTAGGATCAGACGGCGGTTCTGAAGACTCATCATGAACGGCAGCCTTTTTTAAGTACTTGGATGAATCAATTGCATTTCGATTCCACGGATAAAGTCCAGATATTTTGAATCCGTTCTGAATGGATTTCACAGTAAGAGAATTCCATAGACAATCTTGGGTCACTATTTTTTAGGCACAGAGTTTTTCGACAATAATATCAACTACCGTATAATTTTAATATTTTGAGGAATCAATAATAATTTTGTGCATCTATTTGCAATGTGGTTAGAGTTATAAAATAATCGTTATTTAAAAAAAAATCGGGCATTGTTTTACCTAAAGACGAAAACTAACACAGTGGCGAAATATAATACTTCTACCCTATAAAGAGAAAGAGAAAGATTAGTAATTTCCATTTAATTCCACTACCTTTTTTGCTGTTCCTTGACAGATACGCGTATTTCGTCTACAATGTGCAGACTTCTTCAGTGTCTTGTCGACAGTCGAGTATTAGTAAAAGACACTGAAGAAGTCTGCACATTGTAGACGAAATACGCGTATCTGTCAAGGATAGCAAATAAGGTAGTGGAATTAAATGGAAATTACTAATCTTTCTCTTTCTCTTTATACAGGTATTCCACTAAGACGCCCACATTCATCAGGATTCTAGAAAATTGTTTCGCTTAGCTGTAGCAATGCAATGAGAAAATCGATGATGAGAATCGATCATCGCGTATACGCCCTTATGCATGCTCATTGTCGAATTGTCCTGAGCTTAATGTTTACCATGTACATCCACACTGGCGCGTGACAGAATTGTGCAGTAGACACACAACAATGTTAAAGTTTAACTATTTCGCATGTTTTTGCATTAGATTCTGTCAGTTTGTTAAGTACAAAAATAAGCCAAGTAATATTAGCACTATATCACAAAAGATCATTGGACACGGTGATTTATGACCCGAGCAAAAAAAAATGCCACAAAAATGTCACGCCAACTGAGAAAAAATAACTCCCCCCTTGCCCTTTTTGTCACGTTTTTCCTATACCTAATGCATTGCTTGTAACAGATTTTTACATCTACAGGAAGCGTTTTGTAAAGCCGAAAGTATAACAATTCAACTAAATGGCTGGTATGATGTATTCAATTATTATTATATTATATTTTATGATTTATTATAATATTAGTAATTATTTTCAATTCTCTCAATTTGTCGAACCTCTTAACGGAATCCATTTATGAAGAGCTTTGAGTGGGTTGGTTTATTTCCTTTAAATTCCGTTATAATTCCTTATCTTTTGACAGATACGCGTATTACGTCTACTACTTGCAGACTTCGTCAGTGCCAAGTACAAAGTGTTTCGAAGTTAGGTATGTGAGCAAAAATGTCGATTTTTTTGACCACCCTAACTCAGGAAGGTGCACCCTAAGGGCGAAATAAAAAATACGAGTATAAAATATTTCAATAAGTAACAATACAAGGTTTGAGCGAATTCGGAGCAATTTTTTTTTCATGGAATTGCTGTACATTAGGGTGGTTCATAATATCTATTTTGCTCCACCAAGCTCATTCGATTCTAAATCAGGTGTTGATCATTCTCCCAAAAATTGACCTCTTTTGAATGCAAAATCATACTGCCTAGGTCCTTTGAAGTTTATATGTGAATTACAATGGGAAAAGTGAACTTTCCCTTCGGTATGACGGCAACGTGAAGAGGGTGACGAATTAGGGCCAACGACGAATTAGTCAGTTAAGCCACGGTATAACCAAAGCACAGGTGGCGGTGTCGATTCTCGGTTTGGTCTAGAAAATATCTAAGATTAGATATTTTCCATACTTCCAATGTAATTGAACTTGCCAAAAATTGTTTAAGTGAGATCAGATGAAAGCTCGTATAAGAGCGGCAAATCCAGGAAGAAGAAAAGATGTCGGTATCTGCAGAACAGGGACGACGTGCAGCTGCCGGAAATCAATGCACGGCGTCATTAATTTAATTAAGTAATGAAATTGGGTTGTTTTAGCGGAATGCTTAAATAAAACAACAAAAGGTTATATTAAATTTAATTCCACTTAATTCATTTTGGTATCCATGACAGATACGTAATTTGACAACAACAGTGTTTATCAGTGTCATTCCCACTAAAGAACTTATCAAAATCTAACCCCCTTAAGTAATCATCCCCTTTCATTTTCATTTTCATTTTGCAGCGTTTGGTGGGGCAATGGGAGCGAAAGTCAATCCAAAGCCGAGGATAAAGGAAGGGTAATGGCTGAATAGTCTATGCGGACCACTTGAACGCCATGGGAAAAGGAAGGGATTGAAGAGGCCGGTTTTTGGGGGGTTTTGAGGAAATGACACATAGTGATGCTAAATGTAAAGAAACCGAAAATCCATCTCCCACTGATTCATCCTTTCACATATATACCAAATTGATATTTTAAAGCAATAATCAAAATAAACAGACAATACATGAAAAGGCTAGTTGCCAGTTGCTTTAAAGGCTAGTTGCCTCCCTAAGCGGACCCTCCGCATCCTAACTCTTCTGTTAATCCACTTAATGCTACTAGGCTGTCTAAATTTTCTTATTTAAGTTCGTTTGATGATTATGATATCTCTAGTCTAATTTAACAAATAATTGAAATCTCTAATCTACCTACCATGCTTTATTAAGTACCTGCACTTGTGAATGTAATCTAAAATTTAAAGTGTTTCAAGTTGTTTTTGACTTTGACCTATATTTAATATATATTAGTTCGTCCCAGGTGACACCTTCAAGTGACTAAAATGCTTCACTTTGAAGTTAGTTTCTTAGCTGATTTTTAAATTACATAGGGTATATGCTTCAACTACGCTCACACGTTTCCTTTATGTCGCACCACAAAAATACGTATGTCACAATAGAAGCACGCCACAGTGGAAATCCCGAGCCATAGTTCAAACACTTATCCCAAATCAAAATGAAGCACATATAAGATTAGTTGCAATACCATGTACAAAAATGGTGTTTAATATTGTTCCCTGAGTAATACCTCAATGAAAACAACAACCCAAAGCTTGTCAAGCAAGTAGAAGGAGTAGTGTTGGGCACTTTCTGAAATATTTCAATAGTATAATTCCCTTGCAAACCCAAATAAATCTATCTGCTTAAAAATAAATAAAATAAGAGTGATTTGCGGCAAAACCCGCCAGTATCGCACCCAACGTCAGTGCCTATACGTAAGCGTACTACAACGCGGCTTTCAAATAAAGGAGTAACAAGTGTGATACTATCACTTCAGGCTAGAACTTTGGTTTTCTTATGCAATGGTTCATCAGAGAGGGGAAGCTCAGTAATCCTCATCGCATGCTCATGACGCTATTTTGTCACGGCATGAGCCAACGATGCCGGACCTAAACCAACAGTCTCCAACGCTACACTATGAAGCATAAGATTAGGCCCGCCCACCAACGTCCAGGTTAAAAAACTAGCCAAGGGGAGGGAACCCCCTTAAGCAATCATCCCCTAGGTAAAAATGTCAAGATCACAGGTATAAATTTATCATTAATTTATAAAAAAAAATATATTGAGGTATCTGAGGTTTATTCACAAACTGAAAATCGTCATTAAGAAGCACGAAATGGCATCGATTTCAAGTCTTTACAAGTCGTCCCTGTCAACAAAATATTCAGATTGTAGCGTAGTGGACATGAATCAGCCAGACACTACGAAGGGGCGGAAACTACATCTGCAATCATAAATTAAAGGTTGAACACGAAAAATGGGAATTTCAAAATTTCACTGAATCAAGCTAAGAGTGCATAGAATCACAGAAAGCAGTGGTTGTCAGGATAAGTTCATTTGTTTACATCATGGCTTCACCGGAGCAGGCACGTCGCGATTCGATCCTGCACGCTCGAGACGAAAATCCCGGTCTATCCGCTCCTGGCAGTTTCCTGGGCAGGAATTTTATACCTCGGTTGACCGGAAGAGTACCCCGGAAGAATGTAAAATCAGAAAGAAGTAGAAATTCCCCAAAAAAGTTCCTTGTCTGGCAAGCAATTTACAGTTGTGGGTCGAAACATTCGTTACTTCT